GTGTTGGTGGTTCTTTGTGTCTGGGGGTGGGCGTCCGGGTACACACCGGCTCACTCCTTGGCGGCCGCTTGTCGGGGCCTGGGGCCTGGGGCTCGCTCGGGCCCCTTTGGAGGTGGGGTGCCCCCGGCCTCTCGGCCTAGGGCTCGGTCACTCAGGCGCAGCTGGGGGCCGGCGGAGCTCACGGGCGCGTCACTGCAACCCCCCCTGGCTTCTGCTCCGCGGCTGCTGAGTGAGCCCTCATCTGGGACTCTCCTCAGCTCTTACTGGAACAGTGGCGCGGCTGCCCCTCTGTTGGTCTTCCATGGTCTCTTGTGTTCTGGGGTCCTCTGGATGTCTGGAGTTTTGATCTCCTCCATACCCGCTTCACACCCTGGAGGACGGGGCTGTGGCCCCCCCACACTCCCTAGCAGATCATTACATGGAGAAACCTTTGGAATGCAAGCATGCTGATCCACACAGGTATGCACACATGGGTATTCACAGACGCGGACTAAAGCTTTCTTGGCTGCTGCCTCAAAGCACACTGTGCGCTGTCTATCTTGCGTGCTGCACAATATCGTTTATTACTTAGTAAATACTGATATCTATGACTAGCTAGTTTATTGTGATGGTGCTTTGTTTTCTCTATTATTATGTTGCTCTTTGTTGTTTGCTGTCTCCTCTGTTTGTTTGTTTGTTTGTTTGTTTTTTCTCCATACAGGTGACCCAGGAGTTTTTTTTTTTTTTTTTTTTTTGTCTCTCTTCCCCCCCTTCTCACCGTCTCTTCTCCCCCTGGGTTTTCTTTCTTTCTCTCCCCCTCTCTCTCTCATTCATTCCCCCTGTCCTATTTATTAAAAAAAAAAAAAAAAAAAAATGACAAAGGATGAACTGAAGCTCTGCCATCACGTAATGTCGCATACTGCTGTTTCTGATGTCATTTAATAAAAAAAAATAAAAAATAAAAAAAAAAAAAAAAAAAAAAAAAAAACAAGGCAATACAGAGCTCTTTTGTCTTTGTGGCTCACGAGGGAAGTCAGCCCATGCCTTCAACTGTCCTTAGCCAACTTCAATTGATTCCTTTGCTGCAGCCCTTTTTATTGTTAGCAAGCAATGATTCATACAAATACACGTGACATTCTTAAGCAGTCATATGTGAACGACATCAGTGTCTGTATTGTGTCTGTAGGTGCATGTATGTGTGTGTGTGTTTCCCGCCATACCATACATAGACATACGACCTTTCAATGAACTTAAACTGTGTGTATGTAGAAAAGCAGAAGTAAGCGTCTCGCTAAACTATAAAAACAGGAACTTGTAAGACGTCATGTCTCAACTGAACATTTAAAGGTGCGAAGTCTTGGACTTTAAAAGAAAGAGAACATGGTGCTTATCAAATGTATAACATAGCTCATCTCTGGACTAAGCTGCAATATAAATAAAGAAAGCACATTTTGTCTCACAGACAGATAAAGGAAATGTTAGAAAGTTGAAAATAAATCCTCTGACTGTCTGGCTTTTTCCTCATAATGATAGCCATATTAGGACACATAAAGGCAATGATTATATATCTATATTTTAGCACAAATGACAATATAAAAAATATCAATTCCAACACCGGCCCTCGAGGCCTGGAGTTCGACACCCCTGCAGTAAACTGATGCTTGGGCATAGGTGTCATTTTCACAATGTGAGTTTTATTATACTCAAAAGACAAAACTGATACCAGAAATACTTAATCATGAAAATAAGCAATTTCAGAACTGCAAGGCAGAATAACTAAACCGAGTTTCCCCCATATTGTCAAAGAAGATGGTTTAGTCCATCTGTTTGGGGTCTGTATTTAAACAAGCTCCACCCTCATCCTCCTCTTTTACTCAAAGCAGGAGGGACTGGATCAGCAGACAGGTAACCCAAGAAAATAATTAATGTAACTCATACACTTTAAACCAAATGTGTGTGTGCTGTCATTTATAATACACTGCAGTGTTACAAAGTATACTGGAACAAATCAAACTAATATGTTGATCGATATGTTAGATCGGTATCTGCTTTTGTATCTGATAGATAGATGGATGGATAATAATAAAAACAATATCTGTCAGACAGAGGTTTTTTTTTTTTTTTTTAGATTAGATTATCCTCTAGCTAGGTAGTGAAATATTTAAAAATAAAGTTATAATTTATGTTAAAATCTTTATTTAATATGAATGTGCTTTATTATTTTCAATGAAGTTTATTATCTTAGTTCACTGGGTTATCCCACACAGTGGTTCGCAGATTAGTAATTAGCAGATTATAACAGATTTGAGGTAATTCATCAATAATATTATGACCAAAAATCCTACAATAGAAACAGAATTTATAGGACAAAATGTGAAAAAAAATCTGATATGATGAGAAGTGTATTTTTGACTTTATTTAAGTGATCAGACTCAAAGTATTGCTGAGACCGCTGCAAGCTTAAACTCGTCTTTGATGATTAAACCCGTTTTTTTATAATATTGCAACCAGCCATTAATGGGAGACTACAAACACGTTCAGACCACCCAGAAATGTACACATGATAAACCTTGTCTGACATTATTGGTAGAGACCCTAAAACTTTACTCCATTAGCAGGTCATTCAGTTCGTCTTGTGCAGGAGGATCTGAAGAACACGGTGGAAAACAAATCTATCGCTCATCATCAACCACAGATACAGCACTCAAAAGGTCTGCAACTCAAATGCAGATAACGCCTCGCACACACAAAACCGGTTTGATACCACAAGCTTGGGTACCATTGGGGGGTGGAAGGTGCAGTTATTGAGGGCAGTGAGCTCCTGTAACCCGAGCTCAGGCTGCAGCTATTGAACCTACTCAAGGTGAAACATTGAGAAAGCTCAAGATTGATGCAATGTGGGGAATGTGGGGCAAAATATTGTGGTTTTGCAGGAGGTTTCTTCCTGTTAAAAGGGAGTTTTTCCTTCCCACTGTCACTTGCTCTTAGGGGGTCATATGATTGTTGGGTTTTTCTCTGTATATATATTATTACCTATGTATTATTGTACAGTCTACCTTATGGACCTTTAGGCAACTGTTGTTATGATTTAGCGCCATAAATAAAATTGAACAATTAACCTAACCCCACAAACTGTGTGTCTTTGGACTGTGGGAGGAAACTGAAGTCAAAGAGATGTTAAGTAACCTGCACGGCTCATTTCCAACACCAAGGCAGTATCCATCCATTCGCTTCCGCTTGTCCTTTTCAGGGTCGCGGGGGGCGCTGGAGCCTATCCCAGCTGTCATAGGGCGAGAGGCGGGGTACACCCTGGACAGGTCGCCAGTCTGTCGCAGGGCCAACACACAGGGACAGACAACCATTCGCACTCACATTCACACCTAGTGACAATTTGGATTATCCAATTAACCTATCCCAACAAGCTGCATGTCTTTGGACGGTGGGAGGAAGCCGGAGTACCCGGAGAGAACCCACGCAAACACGGGGAGAACATGCAAACTCCACACAGAAAGACCCCGGCCTGATGTTGGAATTGAACTCAGGACCTTCTTGCTATGCGGCAACAGTGCTAACCACCGTGCCACCGTGCTGCCCATACCAAGGCAGTATCATCAACTAAATTTTAAAAAACTGGTTTCGATGCAAATTCAAATGCCTAGTGTTTGAATAACAAATTTTGAATAACACAAAAGCAATAAACTCAAGTTTACAATAGAGAGTCAACGTCGGATATAAAACATCAAATTCTGGCGAGTTATTTTTGGTAATGATCATCTCTGTACTGCAGCCTGCTGTGCACCAGGCTACAGCACTCATTGTTATGCATTAGGCTAATCTGACAATCAGATTTAATTATTAAGTTTTAGAAGGAATGCTGTGCCAAAAAGTAATTTTTGGTCATTGCTAAAAAAAAAGATAGCTGTATTTAAACCATTGTTGGCTTCTAAACTGTCAAACATACCTCTCATGTAATGGCAACAAGTCACTTTGAGCAAGAAAGAACAACCCTGTCAAAAGGTAGAAACATCAGTCAGACGTTTATATCTCCTTTATTCATGCAGCTGCTATTATTGACATTAAATGTGTTGGTCACATTTTTGTGACATTAATTTAACACCCTAACACATTTTCACTAATAGATGTATTTTGGTAGAAATTCAGTTTGGTTCATAACAGATCTGTTAGATATTTTGCTCAGTTGAGAAAACACAATTTACCTTAGTTCTCTTTAATTAAAAATAGCCTCAAAAAGGACCAGAGTTATGTTGGGCTTGACTCTAAACAGGCGCAGAGAGCCTTGACTCGCCTTGTTTTGCAGGTTGCTGGAGCCTGGGGGGCGAGCAGAGGAGTACTGAGCTGTAGAGAGTCAGAGTCTGCTCTGACTGCTGGAACAGAAGAGTTTAAATACAAGAGAAATGCTGCTTTGCTCTTGTTCACTGTTTATGTGAAATGTTGATTAGAGAAACGTGCATTTATGCATTCTTTCCATTTCATTCATTGTGACTTTTAATGGTGATCCAGGTCCAATTTAACTGTACTTTATTTGTCATATGACAGCATTCAAAGTTTTCATTAGATGGCGCCCAGCACCAGGGCTGTGTGGAGATGTTTGAAGGGGCGGGTGCTCATAGAACCAAGCTGAATAACAAAACCCACATTCATCAAAAATCTAATATGGGACCATATAATAATAATGGATTGCATTTATAAAGCGCTTTTCAAGGCACCCAAAGCGCTTTACAATGCCACTATTCATTCACTCTCACATTCACACACTGGTGGAGCCACAGCAGCCCTGGCAGACTGACAGAAGCGAGGCTGCCATATCACACCATCGGCCCCTTGGGCCATCACCAGTAGGTGGTAGGGTAAAGTGTCTTGCCCAAGGACACAACGACCAGGACAGAGAGCCCGGGGATCGAACCAGCAACCTTCCGGTTCCCAACCCCCTAAACCACAGTATACTATATCACTGTCATCAGGTGGGGACAAGGTTAAAGCTAATGTTGCCTATGTTTTACCTGGTGGGTACAATGTTGTTGTTGAGGGGTTTCTGCTGCTGCTGATAGTGGTGGAGGGCAGGGCTGTGTGGAGGCATGTCTGGACAGTGTTAAGTGAGTAATAATTAAAAAAAATCTATACACATAAAACACACACACACACACGCACGCACGCACGCATGCACGCACACACGCACAGTGACCATTTTAGATCTCCAGGCAGAAAGCTTATTAAATGTTTAAAGTGTAGAGATACAATCATTCTGCTGCTATAAAATCAGCATTTTGTCAAATTTGGAATATAAATCTAATAGAATCAGTTTAAAAAGCACTGTGTTTTAAAGAACATATATGTTCTTTAAAACACAGTGCTTTTTTAAGGACTGTAAAACCAATTGCAAAAAAAAACATACTAAAAACAAACCAAGCTCAACAAGAACTCCTGAAAAAACTGTTTAGAACAACATACTATGTTGCAAAGTTTGAACCACCATTGGCAAAATTTAGTAGTCTTTGCAAACTTCAAAAAGCAAATGACCTAGATCTTGGTTCCACTTACCTCTTACCCGTGACTTCAGTGGAACTTTCAGATTCTCAGCCGAAGGGCTACCAGGGATTTTTAAATTTTGCGAGCCCTGCAGTTAATAAAAGGACAGGTCATGTTTGTCGCGCTTTGCACACACAGCACGCTGAATTGTTTCAATTTGTTCATTTGCCACGAGAAAACTTACCAACGTGTTCATAATAACCTAACACTCCTGTGTGCTGTAGACTACAGTGTACGCTGTACACCTACTTACTGGTTTGTCACATCAGCCTGTGTCTCTGAGCAGGGGCGGTCCTGGCCTGTTTAGTGTACAGAAAATACAAATAAAGTACAACAAATACAAAATAAGTAAGATAATACACTATATATTTTATATAGTGAGAGAGAGAGTATGTAAATGAATAACAAACAGCCATTATAATTCATCATACATTGAAACTGATACATAATACATGCCATTGTCCAAAGACACATCTGCTTACCTGCATCTTTTCCTGTTTCTCCTCTTCTTTTCTCTTTTCTCTAAACACTTAGCCACATGGTGCTTCTCATGATCAGGTTCCCTCTATGATGTCTTTACAGCGTTTAGGTCAAACTGACACATTTTCAGACAACATGGAACAATAGACTGATGCAAGAATTCAACCAGACACGCCCAATGCAGAAAGTCACTTATCTCCATCAGTGTTGGGAAGGGTACTTTTAAAATGTATTCCATTACAGATTACAGATTACATGCCCCAAAATCTCCCCTTTTTCTCCCTCCTCGCGCTCACAGACCCATAACGTGTATGGCAGTGCATTCTCCCTGCAACACAGACTACACTGCCCATGATGCTACATTCTTTAGAGCTATGATTGTAGCATTCTGCCTGTTAGCTTAGCACAACAACAACAACAACAACGAAAAGGCGCTCTCTCACCCAGGAAACACACAGTCGCAGAGAGAGAGAGAGAGCGTCGCCCTGTAACCATGGCAACCGTAACTCTGCCGCCTGGAACAACAGAACGTAGCTGTCAATCAAAACCCAAACAGTCCTGACCCGCGACAAAATGAAACAGGAAAGTACCGCAGTGTAATCCATTTATTTCAACAAAGTAACTGTATTCTGAATACCACCTTTTTAAACGGTAACTGTAACAGAATACAGTTACTCATATTTTGTATTTTAAATACGTAACGGCGGTACATGTATTCCGTTACTCCCCAACACTGATAAACATGACCTCATCTTAGTTACATTTTTATTTCAGGAAATGTTTGGTTTCAGGTGCTGCTGCTTCATTTTGTGTCTGTATTGGCTGACTGTCACAGTCACGTGTTAATGAAGAGAAAAAGAAAAGATTGTTTGCATATTTTCATTTTGTGCTCTCACTGCCTGACAGCTTCTACACATTTCTGTTCAGGCATATTTATTAGTTTGGTTTTTTTCATGAGGCACACATTCAGATGTGGACATATTTTGGGAACAAACTGTTCAAACAGCTTCTGGATCCAAAAACACTTTATTAGTCTGACTCTGCTAAAACCTTGTCAAAACATTTGAAGGTTGTTGTTGGAGATGCTGGAGATTTAGCTAAATGAAGCTTATGTGTAAGTTCATTAAGGAAGATCTGCAATCACCCGTCAGTGTGCTTTCCCAAGTGTTTGGCTGCTGGTCGATTGATTACATCACTTTCACTTTTCCATGCTGTAAAACTTAATGCCGATAGCATTGCTCTAGTCCAATCATCTTTCTGCCTGCCCTCTTCAAGCTGATCAGCCTCCACTCTGTGTATTTTAAATTGCACTTCATCTTTCATCTTTCTCCCTTACAGACCAATTCGTGCAAGCCACCTCCTCCTTGTCTTTTCTTCTTCTCTACTAAAACTCTGTAACTGTTTTCATACCACTAAAACTATTCTCATCAATAAAATCAAATATATGCACAACAGTCTGACTTACAGATGAAATCAATCCAGTCAGCTGATCAGAAACAGTTTATGTGCTGTGTGTACAGCCACATGTGGGTTGTTGCCCGGTAACTTAAAACATGAAGGTGAGTCAGTAGCTATAGATAAGAGAGGAATGCTGACTGATCACCATGTCATTCACTGATCAGGTATTTTACTGTGAGCATTATACTTTGCGTAGCACAAAACAGAAAGCACACAGAGTCCTCGATTTGAGCGACAGAATTCAAATTGTTGAAGAGAATTTCATAAAGAACAGCAGGATACAAAAGAAGCATGAATTTCATCCTTTTCATATACTGTATGTTTCCTTTTGCTCTGTTTGTCTGTTATGTATTTTTGTGCTATTCTTTTATCCTCTTTTTATCCTCATTTAAAAGCAACAGATCTGAAAGTCAAATGTGTTATGCTGACTGTATAAAATATTAGATCTTGGCTGTGCCTTTAACTCTAGACCTTTGACCAATCACCGATCAGGATGAATTGCACTACTGTACTGTCCATCCCCGCGAGCAGAGGTGGAAGTAACAAAGTGCAAATACTTTGTTACTGTAGTTAAGTACAGTGGGATGCAAATGTTTGGGCAACCTTGTTAATAGTCATGATTTCCTGTATAAATCGTTGGTTGTTACAATAAAAATGTCAGTTAAGTATATCATATAGGAGACACACACAGAGATATTTGAGAAGTGAAATGAAGTTTATTGGTTTAAAGAAAGTGTGCAATAATTGTTTAAACAAAATCAGGCAGGTGCATAAATTTGGGCACTGTTGTCATTTTATTGATTCCAAAACCTTTAGAACTAATTATTGGAACTCAAATTGGCTTAGTAAGCTCAGTGACCCTGACCTACATACAGAGGTGAATCCAATAATGAGAAGGAGTATTTAGGGGGGTCAATTGTAAGTTTCCCTCCTCTTTTAATTTTCTCTGAAGAGTAGCAACATGGGGGTCTCAAAACAACTCTCAAATGACCTGAAGACAAGATTGTTCACCATCATGGTTTAGGGGAAGGATACAGAAAGCTGTCTCAGTAGTGATGGGCAGATGAAGCCTCATGAAGCACTGAAGCTTTTCATCCAAGTGGTTCACTCCAGTGCAAAGCTTCTTGAAGCTTCATTTGCTCTAGCAAGACACCTACTGGACGTAAAAATATTAGTCGGCATGAATTTGAAGAGTGTGGCCTTTTGCACACAGCCTGTAAATGTCAACAACAAAAGGAGTGTGTAAACATGTATATTGTAGTGATGGCAGTATAGTGTGTATATTTATAGTGGCAGTATGGGAAATGATTATTTGGAAATGCTTGAAATGGAAATGATCATTTACTGTGAGGTGAGGTGTGGTTGGGGTGTGGACAGTGGTTGTGCTTTTGTAACGTTGAGGTATAGACAGCTACACACTGAGGCCTCAGTCCTGCCTGTTCATATTTTATTCAGTAAAAACTAAATTTTCACTGCTTTTATAACCTTTATTGGGGAGAACATAGCTAGGATTTAATGATTTAACACATCTTTTGAATCCTTTGTCCTCCACAATGCTAAATGGCTGTGAGTCCTCAATCACCATGATAACCAGGTCTTCATCTATTTGAGATTGTTCTCCTGAGGAAAGACAATAAAGACAAAGCACAAATATATCACACACGTAACTTATTACAGTTGTATAATATTGTTATATCATTTAGTAACATTACTGCATGCTATATTATCATGGCATTTGATGGCTCACCTGGTCTTGCTCCACAATCGCTGTTCCCCTTATTCTCATGCAAAGCTCTGTAGTGCCTAAGCATGGATGAGGTGTTGCTGTTATATCCCAGCTCCCTGGCACATAGCAAACACTTCACCTTGTACAAAAGTAAAGCCGCTTAACATAAATTGTATTGCACCATCAGTATTATGAAAATACATCTTCTGTAGAAATTTACATACCTTGTTGGGAGGAATAAGATCAAAATGTTCCCACACTGGGGAGGACATCCTCCTCTTCTTAGCTAGCTCCATTCTCTCCTGACTTTCTCTCCTCACTCTCATAAACCTCCAAACTGTCTCCAAACTCTCACTAACCGCAACTCTCCATCAAACACCCACATTTTGAAGTCTGAGGGGTTTATATCGCTATCATAGCTCGCGGCAAAGTTCGAACCACTTCCTGAACCAGTCACGTGGTACAGCCGGGCAGCGAGGCTTCGGACGTCATCATTTTCAGCTCCTCCCATAAATGAAGCAAGCCTCGATACACGCATCGTGGAAACGCCCCCTCCATTACTCGACACAAGCTTCGAAGCCTCGATACAGAACGTCACATCACTCTGTCTCAGAGATTTAAGCCGTCTGTTTCCACAGGTAGGAACATATTGAGAAAATGGAAGACCCCAGGCTCAGTTCAAGTTAAGGCTCGAAGTGGCAGACCAAGAAAAATCTCGGATAGACGGAAGCGACAAATGGTGAGAGCAGTCAACAGTCTAACCCACAGACCAGCACCAAAGACCTACAACATCATCTTGCAGCAGATGGAGTCACTGTGCATCCTTCAACCATTCGGCGCACTTTACACAAGGAGATGCTGTCCATAAAGGTGCATAAATTTGGGCACCACAAAAAAAGAAATGAAATCAATATTTAGTAGATCCCCCTTTTGCAGAAATTAATGCCTCTAAATACTTCCTGTAGGTTCCAATGAGAGTCTGGATTGTGGTTGAAGGTATATTGGACCATTCCTCTTTACAAAATTTCTCTAGTTCATTCAGGTTTGATGGCTTCCGAGCATGGACAGCTCTCTTTAACTCACACCACAGGTTTTCAATAGTATTCAGGTCTGGGGACTGAGATGGGCACTCCAGAGCGTTGTACTTGTTCCTTTGCTGTAATTTCCAAATGTGAACTCCCAAGGCTGGATCTTCTGATGATGTTCTTTACCCATTGCAGGAAACTACTGGAAGAACGAATTGTGAAGTCTGAATGCAATTTATTCTTTTTTTTTTTTGCCTGTCTCGTTTGGTTCTTTTGCCATCAGAATTGTTGTCTAAAGGCAAAGAAAGATGCCCAACGGATTTACTTTACCAAATGGACCATCCCAGCCTCGCCGTAATGGTCTATTTGATTCACCTTTTGTTGTTTATTTTATTTTTTATTTTCACTTGCTAGATACGGGACAGACTTGAATAAGGAAAAGAAAAGGGAGAAAGAAAGAGGGAAAAAAACAGCAGAGAAGAGGGATATTGAATATTGAATATTATTGTGCAGCACGTAAGATCGACAGCACACAGTGTGCTTTGAGGTAGGAGCCAAAAAGGGTGTAGTTTGTGTGTGTGATCACCCGTGTGTACACCTGTGAGCATGGACGCGCTTGTTTTTTTTTTTTTTAAAAGGTTCCTTCATGTAATGATCTGCTAGAGGGTGTGGGGGGCCACAGCCCCGTCCTCCAGGGCATGAAGCAGGTATGGAGGAGATCAAAACTCCAGACATCCAGAGGCCCTCAGAACACAAGAGACCAAGGAAGACCAACAGAGGGGCAGCTGCGCCACTATCCCAGAAAGAGCTGAGGAGAGTCCCAGATGAGGGCTCACCCAGCAGCCGCGGAGCAGAAGCCAGGGGGAGTTGCAGTGACGCGCCCGTGAGCTCCGCCGGCAGCCAGCTGTGCCTGAGTGACCGAGCCCCAGGCTGAGAGGCCGGGGGCACCCCACCTCCGAAGTCGCCCGAGCGAGCCCCAGGCTCCAGGCCCCGACAAGCAGCTATGAAGGAGTGAGCCGGTGTGTACCTGGACGCCCATCCCCGGACACAAAGACCCACCAATGCACCGATGTCTGAGGGAGTCCGCCACTGGCAGGGGAAGTGGTGGTGGGGGGAGATAGGCCTCCAAACCTTGGAGGGCCTGAGGTGTCCCCAGAGAGGTGGCGTCTGATACCCAACCTGACATATGGACACAGACATACAGGCACACACAGATACAAACATCCATTCCCAGCCTTTTTATACATGTTCTTCTTTTCTCTCCTCCCCTCAATGTTCACATCATACAAAATGACCAAATGGATTCTGACCAGCTGTGAAAACCATCTAAGTCAGAATTGATTTTTCTCGTGTGAGAATACGTTAAAAACATAGATTTGGAGCTGTTTCCACAGAGTATAGGTTTAGAGGAATATGGCTCTTCAGTTCTGGCTTATTTCAAATTATTTAACTGATGAGGCAGAATTTTTTGTCAGATCTATCTTTGGATTACAAATCTCATTCTTTTAAGTAAATAAAAGAAGCAGTGCTGCCATTAGTCCAAAGTAGAGGCCGATCCTTCCTCCTCTGTTTGATGTCTCAGGTTTTCTTTCATGTTTAGGACAATCCCTCACTGCTGCAGAGACACAAACACATCTGAGTCACTCACAGTTAATATAAAACATTGAATAAAAAAGTATCTTCAATAAAATAAATTATGCCAATTGGTGTAGGAAAATGTATGTTTGTTTAGTACTGACACAGTCAGAAGTCATAACCTTTAATTGATTTTAAAAAATCTTGAATCTGAATCGAGCCTGTTACTGGTTGTACAAAGCAAAAGTCACAGAGAGGCCGAGGACAGGAAGTCTTTGAATGTTTTGAAGAACTGTCAAACAGAGGCTGATTAAAAGAATCTAAACAATATGAAAAACAATGAAAGTGATCGAAGTGAAGAGAAACAGAGTCTATCAACCGTCTATCAACCTGCTACCAACTGTCACTCTGGGCTTCAACAACATTTAGAGAAACTCCTCAGAGCTCAAAACTGAGTCTAAAAATCTGAGCGAGAAGTCCCAGCTTAGAGAGATTGCATAACCCTTTAAGAGCAGCTCTGATCGAGGAAGGACTAAAATTTTACCTCAGTGAGGTCTGCCGCGGAGCTCTTTTATATAAAACTTTTATCTTTACAGGAACTTAGAAATTCTTTTTTTTTTTTTAAATTCTACGTAAGTTTAAAATTTTAACACTGAGAGAAACTTCTAGCAAATGTGGGCCCGGATGAAAAGGTGCTTAAAGTAATTTCAGTCTGACCAAATAATTTGCACATTAATCACCCAAACTGCAAAAAAGCTAACAAACTAAAACATCCACCATCACAAAATATTAACATTACAAACTTTACTTTGACTTTGATCTGAATTCATTCATAGTTTATAGAAGTATCTTACCAGTTACGTTGAGTCGACATCTTCCAACACCGAAGCCATAATCAGTGTTGACCTCACACAGGTACAGACCCGAGTCATCAGTCCTGAGTCTGGACAGTTGAAGTCTGATTCGTCCTTCTCTGAGGGCGTCTTTGTCACTCTGGACTCGTCCTGAAAACTTTGCACCCTGAGACTCTGACACCTCAACACCTTCATGAACATGATACAGGACTGAGACTTTATCACTGATGAAGAGTTCACAGAGGACGTTGAGAGTTTTGGTGGATCCGTCAGGTTTGGTGGTGAACGTCCACTCCAGTGTGATGTTGTGGTTCTCCTCTGCCTGATAGCAGGTCTGTGTCACATTGACTACAAATGATCCTGTTGAGGAGACAGAGAGGGAAAGAGAGGAGCAGACACACTGAGAACTGGAACAAATCTGTTGTTGAGCTTTATTTGGAGTTCATAAAGTGAAGCTGTAAACTAACCAGAGACACATGAGGTGAGGATGATGAGCAGCAGGATCCTGCAGATCATCTTCTCCCTGTGAGAGGATGGTGTGACAAATCGTCTGTATGTTATGCATTCCGAAACATGAGAACCATTTGGAATGAATCTACACATGTTCATTTATTTTACTTTGTCATGGGCGATCGTGGCTTAAGAGTTGGGTGTTCGTCTTGTAATCGGAAGGTTGCCGGATCGAGCCCTGGCTTGGAGAGTCTCGGTCGTTGTGTCCTTGGGCAAGACACTTCACCTACCGCCTTGCTTCTGTCAGTCTGCCCCAGGGCAGCTGTGGCTACAACTGTAGCTTGCCTTCACCAGTGTGTGAGTGAATGAATAGTGGTATTGTAAAGCGCTTTGAGGGGTCCCGAAAAGCGCTTTATAAATGCAATCCATTATTATTGAATCGCTTTGGAAAGCACTATCTGATACAATTAATGCTATGGTTAAGGTTAGGGCTGGCATATATGGCTGGATCATGTGTGACAACCTGGAGCGTCATTCTGTTGAATTCTGGAGCGTATATGAACATGGAAGGTTACCTTTCGCGTTATTATGACATCCCTCGGGACATGACAATACATCGGTATGTTACGCGTTGGGAGTGAGATCGATCAACACATGAGGTCAGGGCTTTAACCAGAGCTTAGAAATGAGTGAGATCCAGAATATTTTCTTCTAATCAGAGAGTTAACGTTATGAGTTAAAGTTCATGTATCACATGTACCCCCACAGAGCTGAACTCATTGATTACTTCACACTAACTTCCTGAGCAGCGCAAATTAGCGCAAAGACAGAATCACAAAACCCCACAGTTGGACACTGCACTCATTTAACTGATTTATCCAAACAAACATGCTGACACTTCATTTCAGCGATGAGCTACAACACCGCATATCAGTGGCTCAAGCACGAGCAGAGCTGATGAGGGAGCGAGTATGTAACAACATGAAACTCAGAGGCAACTGAAGGAGAATTAATATTCTGGTATAAGGGTGAAGTAAGCTCACAGAGGCTGATGGAGGCTGTAGTCTTACTGAAACACCCATTAGTGCAAGGCAGGTGGAGTGCAGCACTCCACCTGCCACAGTCAGCTCTCTGTAATAATAAAACTGGCTGCCTGGGGGGGTCCCTTTTTACTTCCTGCTCTGTTTGACTAAAATACTTGTTTTACTTGATCAGGTAACCGTAGTGTACTGTAGAGTCTCCGTCTCTAAAAAAAAATTATTATTTAAAGAGTTTAATTTCTATTGTTTCTCCACTCAAGGTTTATAGGGATTTTAAGAAGTATTTCGTTAAATTACTTATTTAGTAATTAAGTTACTTTTTTGACTCAGTAATTAGATAAGTATTTTAAATACAATATTGATTAAGTAATTAGTAATTAATTACTTTTTAAAAGTAACTTACCCAACACTGACTGTCACACATCGATTCCTATTTTAACGGTCCTGATTAATAAATGAATGAATAAATTAGGGAGGTTCATTCATGTGGTCAAAGTTTAGTCGCCACAATTTCAAGAAACAGAGGCAGACACTCCTTTTTTGACACTTCATTCACTCATTACAAAAATCAAGAAGAAACTGCAGAAACACCAAAGCACAGTCTCATTTAGAAATGATGATGTTACAAGGGGAAAAATAGAATGAACAGAATTTCTGATCTGATTCAGATCAGAGTCTACACAGGAAATGTATCGAAAGGGAATTTTATAAAACATTTAAGTAGAGTTTTCTCTGATTATTGCCGCTGCGAGAGTTCACTCTCACATTAGACATCAAAACTGATAAACTGATGTTTCAGTTGAAGCTTCAGAATAAACAGAACACTGAATAAAACAGAGTCTCTGAAAACATTTGGACATTTACTTTAGTTTAGTTTGATGTTTTGTTCTGGGCTCTGACTGCATGTAAAATTCACAGTGACCTATACAGCTCCATGCTGCACCTGAACGCCTCCTATGTTTATGCTAAAACCTCTGATGGCGTAAAAAAACTTTAATTTTTGTTTGTTTGTTTTTCCATGTTGGGTTTTCTGGATACACACAGTTTCTCCAACGTGGCAAAAACAAAACAAAACTGTAACTCGTAAAATGCTCGAAATCCCCGCCTGATTGGGTTAATCCCTACGAATCATGTCAATTTAAAGTGATAACACACAAACTCTGTCTGTTAAACTGTGTCGTTTAACAGACTGTGTGGGAGGTGTTGTACAGGTTTACACAAATTATGTCTGTTCAAATTTATTTTCCCAGTGAACGCGAATGACTATCACCATTCAGGCAAACAGATGGTTTGTAATGCGCAATACCCTTAACATATACACAGCAGCATGTATGCAGCAGTCTGGAATTATGTCCCTAGATAAAGTAAAACACTTGTTCTAGGGCAGGGGTGTCAAACTCAAATACACAGTGGGCCAAGATTCAAAACTGGAACAAGGTCGCGGGCTAACATTAATATTTATTGAAAAAAAAAATCTTCCTCCAGATATAAGAATGAATCTTTTCTTATGGACTCAAATAAGTTTTGGTGAAAAACTGAATATGGAACAAGCAAAGCTTAATACTAAACAATATATACATTAGCTGTATAATACCAGTAGGCCAGCTCTAATAGTAATTTGGTATGGCTTCGCGTGCCAGAGTTTGGCACCTATGTTCTAGGGAAAGTAATACAAGAAGAGGTGTGTGGGTCTGCTGTTAGCTTCTCACAGGACTGAAAATGAAACTTTCTACAAAACCCAAATTAGTCTATCTTCAGAAATCAGTCACACCATCGTTCTGCACTGAGGACACTTACTCGCCGCTCCAACCTCCAACAAAGAGATTCTACTTACTGTCACCTCTGCTTATAAAGAGGACAGGACTACATAACCCTGCCCACAAAAAGCGGTGCTTACTCCTCCCACACATGGAGCAGAGACAGATGCTGGAGGATAGATGTTTCAGTTGAGCTGTGCACAAGATTAAGCATGTGGCCAAAAACACTTCGGTCAGGATTAGAAATATATCTGACAGGTAGGCAGAATTCATCCAGGGAAGAGCTGATCCTCATAAATGTTATAATGTAATTTTATTGTTTGTGCTATTTTGTTATCTACATGGTTGGGTCACTTGAATATGTTCATTTCATTGTTTTGTATAGTTGCATATTTTGTTCAGCAGAGGGGAGCGCTTAAAAGTTTCCCAAAACTTAAAATGCTTCTTGGGATTGCTTGTGTTTGTGCTTAGATGTGAAACATGTGGGACCTCTCTGGTGTTGGGTCCTTTTCCACACTCCTTTCGTTGTACATCACCTTGAGTCTAATGTTGGTTGGTTTGTACATGTGATTTTCCTCAGTTTTGCTGCACTCTGATGTCAACGGGTGCTTTTATAATAATCATAGCAATAAGAAGAAGAATAAAATATCCAAACTAACTGTATTCTGTTTCTCCATAGTCTTAACAAATTTCCCACCTGTGGGACTAATAAAAGTCATCTTATTTTATCTTAGTCCTGGTGCTCCTCCTCTGGGTGGAGTCGTCATCACTCCTCCCAGGGCTTCCACCTGGAGCTGATTAGACCAGCAGTACTTAAAACCAACGCTCACAACTAACCATCGCCAGAATGTCTGTTGACCCATGTTAGTTTATTACTTCTCGTATCCTGTGTTAGTCATAGTGCCTGTTGCTTACCTGGTTCTCTTGTCTTCTCTGCCAGTTCACAGAAATACACTCTCCCGTCATCATTAGAGGGAGAGAGAGTGAGAGTGATATACATCGAGAGCGTGCGGGATTTCCCCATGCGTCACTTTAAAAATGTCAGAAAGAGGGGTTTTTCTGGTCTGAATGGATAACTGTAAACGCTCCTAACTGCACAAATATAATCATCATGTCAGCTATGCTCTGAATCAAACATGAAAACAGGACAGAAACGTAAAACAAAACTTCACACAAAAAGACAAACATGGACACAAGAGGGAGGAAGGAATAAGAAGTCGGGGAATAGAATATAAACCAAACTAAAAGCCCGTGAAGATAAAGATCTAGATCTGAAGATAAAACCTTAACATATACATATAAACAAACTGGCCGGGAAAAGCTTTTACAAGAAAAGTACAGACTTCAACAGAAATGAAACTCAAAGCAAAAAGTCATGATTCAATACGTTCACGCTATCGTTTTTATGTGGTTTTTAGCGTGAGCGTCTTTGTGAGCAATAGGAGGAAGATGCGTTCAGGCACAACATCGGCTGTCGGTTCTCTGAACTTCGGAAACATTTACAGACGAAATATTAATCATTGGACTCTAAACATTAAGCTGAAGACATGTATTTTTTTTACACAGCGATTTGTTCACAGCTTTATTCGTGTGAACCAATGTGTGATCTAGGTCTAACTTGACTGCAACAGTGAGTGAAAGCCTTCTGTGTTAAAGGCGGAAGAAATGACTTAACATGGCGCCACCCTGTGACAGAAAAATGCCTATCCGAGAATAAAATGAATGTGAAATAATGTAAAATCTCTATTTTTCTGTCTTTTGGATTTTTTTAAAGATAAAAGTTATGCTTTCTTTATAACTTTGTGATCTGCGAACCAAAGCTGAATTGTGTGGTTTTCAGGGCATCGCTATTCTCAAAACAGGAAATATGACTCCAAACAACAAAGCTTTACTAGGTGGTTCAAGTAAAAATTCAATTTTGACTCTCAAAGAGCAGAAACTTCCAAACAGATCAGTAGTTTTACAGCAGGAGAAACAAAGACAGTAAGCATTAAAAGTAAAAAAATCAATGTCACACAAATATAGAGAATACTGTAAACACTAATACAGTATAATAAAATAAAAAGAGAAACTGTTTTCGTCTCCTCTTGTTTAGGTTTGTATTCTCTGAATATAATTAACGGCTACAATCACGGTGAGAACTTTACATGCACTCATCATGAATGTCATTGTAAACATGGCATTTTAGTGATTTCTTTGAACTGTTCTTGTTCCAGAGTGGAATGATTGTACAGCATACATCTTTAATCATAATAAAAAATAAGAAGTGGACACACAGG